AAAACCAACTTTTAATTGAATTTTATTTATGAAAAAGCTTAGGATCAAATGGAATGTGTTAGGTGAGATAGGCGTAGAAGAGTAATTTGTAACAATGGTGAAGTACAGTGAATGTGGTGAAAGTGTATAGATATAGCCAGATACACCGCGAACAAGTTCTATGCCAGGATGATAAATAACAGATGAAAATTATTCATTGCTTCATAACTTCTTTGGAAAGTTTTGTCCTTTACTCAGCTTTTTTTATATATATCGCATAGATGTATTTTTTATCCTGTTAATTATTAGGCCTCATCAAAACGTGATCTTTTTCGTGTATTAAAATATTTCTTACATTTGAATAAATGACTTAATTCTTAGATAAATAGGTGTAAATATTTTTCAAGCATCAGTGTTGAATTAGCGTAAATTCTGTTTATTTTTATCTTACGACATAAAGAATTTAATTGTAATCTTTAGTTGACCTCGTTACGGTACTCTGTAACATGCTTTTATGCTATTATGCAGAATAAATTAATGATTTAAATCTTGATGTTGGTTATTCGAAGTTGGGGTATTAACAATATTTGATAATCAACATCAGATTCGCTCACCAGTGTTGATTAACTTTAAATATCGCAGACTTTTCTTTTGTTACATATTTATTAATGAGCGGCCACAAGAGCGGTGAAACAGGTAAGCTAAAATTTAGTTTAGGCTAGGGGAGTTGAATCTGCATTTTATATTTCTAGATTGTGCCATTATATCCCATTTTTGCGATGGTTCTTTTGAGTTTATTGTTTTGGTCTCTGTTGATTTCTTTTAAAAGGAAGTCATTATACCTGTTTTCATTTCAGAATTAAAATCACTGTATTTGTTGAGATTCTTTATTGTGTCTGACGTGGTCATTGTTCTTTGTTCCAGCTTTCTAGCATTGTTCTTGCTTTTAACCTAATAGCTCTAAGTGGCGTTAATGCATTCTCAAATCCTTCTTTCTCAATTCCGACATTTTATTTTATCTTTATTCTTTTATTTCTTTTTTATTATTTTAGTGTCACAGTGTAAAACACAATAAAAACATGAATTACAACACACCCGGGTCCCAAATAAGGTTTCTTATGAGAAACATAGAATTACTACACAAGTACATTAATACAGTTTTAAAATATTGGCCTATATATTAGTTATGACTATTCTGAATAATGTCTGTATAACATAAAACCATGCCGCAGATTTTGGCTTTATTTTCATACATGTTGAATTTGCACATAAGTAAAAAGTTAATGTCGACGTCGTTGGTAGGTTCTTTTACATTGACAATATCTTATATCTCTCCATATACTACACCACATCAGTACATGCCCGTTCTCTACCTCGCCATTTCTTGAAAAAAAATGCATATTCGATGTGAACTTTCTTAAAAAGTTTTTTAAGATTTTGAATTCTAAGGTGGACTGCCCTTCATCTGATTTTCGCCAGTTCTCTTCTCTCTGAAGGATTTAATCTAAAATGTTCAACAAATAGTAGATCTAATAATAATAATAATAATAATAATAATAATAATAATAATAATAATAATATAACAAATAGTTATATAAATAGCACGTTTAAAAAAGCTCTTAATGATATTCAGATATTTTCAAATTGGTTTTTGAAGAAAATGATTGCCATTTATGACAAATTTTAATCAGCGTTCAAGTCAACTATCATCTGCTCAGTATGGAATTGATCATTTTAAATACTGTAGCTTTCCGATTTTTTAAATGTTTTAACAGTTAAAACTCTGATAAGGAAGTCTTTTTTCAAACTAACATTTAGGTTTTTCAGTAGGACTTACTACATTAGTCTAATTGAGCAAGTCGCCAATTAAAAAGAGCTTGAGCACTTGCGGCATCGTTAAACCTAAAAATCTTAATAATTACTATCGTCTCAATAATACCAGTCCAGTCTGGGTGCATGCTTTCACAACCGAAAATCATGTCCTGCACACTAGCCATTTATTTGGTGGCTTTCGTATATATGTATGGAGTGAATCATTTAACAGTTTTTTTTAGAATGACGTCACGAATTTAAAGATTTGTTGTATCTAGCTTGTTCCTCCTGCCTTCAAGAGCTCACGCAACTACATGCCAGTGCTGCCCTCTTTTGCTTAATAATGTAACTATCAATGTATTCAGACGTGTAATCTTTTTCTTATCCTATTCACCTTAGTTTTCTCGTCATTACGTACATTAACGCCTATGAACATTTGGTCTAGTTAATAACTAATACAAAAATGACAATTAAGATACGGCATCGAAATATAAACAATAATGATGATTTCTCAAAATTTGAATCATTGATAAAAAAATCAGGAAAATCAACGTTTTACATTCTTTTAGGATTCATTTGATTTAAATCCAGCGACTCTGATTTGTATCTACTTTTCGTTTCTTTTCATTTTTTCGTCAAATGATTATAGAAAAATCTCATTTTGTTGTTATGCACTCTATTTATGAAGATTACCTCATGTGAACGACAAAAACTACAAATCAATGGCATCTACGTAAGGTGCTAGGTCGAATAATTATGATGAACAAGATGCTTTGATCCTTTTATAGCTTTGCATCATATGTTACTTTTCCCACTTATAATAACTGCTTCCACTTTTCCAAGCTCCCTTTTTTTGTAAAATACAAAAAAGTTTCCATATGTGTGGCCAGTCAGTTGAAACCACTTGGAGCTACTATTTCCAGTGTATAGATTGACAGTGATGAATACGCGCGAACTGAAGAGCGGTCAGTGCTCCTTTAAGACCCTGCTAACAGCACTTGACGCACCTGGACGGTGAATACACGTACACTACCCAAACCAAACTACCACATAAATAAACAAACATCTCATAAAAGAGAAAAAAAACAATGACAATCGATGTCTGATTTTTTCTCTTACCCACGAAGGAAAACCAATGTGCCGACTCATGTTTGTGAATACCTTTCCCCCTCTCCCTCTCTCTCTCTCTCTCTCTCTCTATCTAAAGTGAAATTTATAATATTTTTTTCATATTATAGTTTTTTGTATAGTGTACACCATGAGATTTTAGAGAACACACCAAATTTTGAATAGTTCTTCTGTAAGGTTTTAGACAACGGTAGTTTACGCTGATAATCAAATTAAGAAAGATAAGCATATTTATGGAACATAATAAAAATATGAAATTTTTTTAAGTGATGAAACATCGGCAGAAGCTGAAAATTTTGCGTAACAATAACGGAGAGTAACTGGGAAACCAATGATGTAAATCATTTTCTCCTCAGCGAAATCTACTCCTTGCCGAATTTATAAATCAGTTGGAAGACAGTCGAGCTACTGATCCCATGGGTTACAGCTATCTGCACAACAAACTGCGGGAGTTCATCATCCAGACATTCACATAAATTACATGGGACACCTTAGCCCTTGTTAACATGTTATTTAAACGATTTAAAATAACATTTGACATGTTACGCTTGATCCCCCGGTGTGGAAGGTGTGTTAAGATGGAGCAGCAGCGATGGAAAATTTTGAAAACAAACGATGCGAGCTAGCGGGAAACAGATGTACGAGTCTCGAGTTTAAAGCTGCAGGAAAACTGATGCAGAGATTTTGATTGTGATTCGCAATAAACACCAGGAGTGTGTTTCTTTTTTTAATTACTCCTGATAGCGGAGCCGCTAAAGCTCCTTGTACCGACAAGACCAGAAAGCCAACCACATACTATCAACTGGAAACAGAGTTTAGGTGTGTGTTCGGGTCGCAACCGGGGCCGCCCTCTTTTCAGTTGTGTTGAACTAGTGTTGTCCTGATGGTACATAGCTAATGAATATCAGGCGCTGTTGGTTATTGACTTATTTTGGCATCTTAAAAAAGTTCATGTTTTTGCATTACTGTACATTGTCAGTGTCAATATTTATTTACAAAACATTCTCAAATATAGGTACTGCATCAATATCTGTTGGTAGCAGTTACTTGAAATTAACTGGCATTTTACATGCTATGCTATAACCTTATCTAACGTCAAAACATAGTATACAGACTTTTGAGGACATCTGCATGATTAAATGCCAATCTTTGGGATACATTTCCAATTGTGAAAACGCCCTCCCCCCCTTCCTCCTAAAAATTAGGTTTCATATTCTTTTCTTTTCTTTTTCTCTCCTAAAAACCTTTTTTTGAATAAACGTGTGTCATTTCCACACGAGTTTACAGTCCGCTTTCAGAGTCTTGAAATTATTTAGCAGACAATCCGTAAATAGAAGTTTATCATTTTTTCATTAATACACTTGACTCGTTCACTGATACAGTTGACTTGACTCTATCTTGGAAAAAAGTAAGCTTTTAAAAAGCTATTTTGGCTACTGCGTATATGCCCTATTAGCGAACGGTGATTGTTGCCAGAAGCTATGCCTGCGTGTTTAAAATACGTTGATAAAGAAGGAGCACGATAGATATTGTTATTTTTAAAGTTCTAGGGTTAAAGAATAGGCGATTATCAATATAAGATATTTGAGATGGTTGGTGCAGAATCGGATATAAGATATACAGATACATTTTATACTGCCTCTGCTGTTGTTTCTATGATATAGAATATCTTATTCTTTATACATTATTTTCGCATGAAATGTTGAGGGATTTACGCGCTTGCTTTTTATCCGTTTAAATTATGCGTCGAGCGAAATTAATACACCAATGGGGTACAATTAAACAAATATTGCTTAAGAAATGCAATTAGGTCTTTTTTTCTTCTAATCAAGTTCGTCGCTCAAAACCTATGACAGTTCAGGAAATGATGTTAAAGAAGAGGAAAAGCGTTCTTTTTTTTCTTGGTTGTCTTTCCTAAAAACAATGGTGAAAGAATTCGCCAAACCTCAAACTTAAAATTTGACAAAATATACACAGATATCATTGTGATAAACATAGAGCAACCTACGATCCTGTGCAATTTGTGCAATTTGGTTGAAGTTGGAGAATGCATAAAAAGGCGCACTACTTCTTTTGGACAGTTTATTAGAAGTCCTTTTTGATTCTCGATGCGATTTTAATAACGATATTGATACCTCTCTAGAATATGTATGTAACGTATGCCTACTCAGATTGATAATTTTACTAACTGGTCTTACTGAAACAAAGGAGATAAACAGAAAAGCCTTAAGTATAATAATTCTTCACAAAACATGCATTCTTCGGGTAAGCCATTTCATCACGGGCATACCTCAGTTAAGCTTATTAACCTCAGTTGTGGATCTCATTTGTTTCTTAATGTCATAAAGTCCTAGTTAGCCCTTGTTGCAGCAAATTCATTTAATTAAGTTGTCCGCAAACTCTTTGCATAGCCTTTGTGAAAATCACCCATGAAAAACTGTTAATTAGTCATTATTATCACTGTAATAAGACATTGAATCTTTGAACTTAAATTCATATTCAACTGCCTAGTTCCTTGTTTTAGTTCAGTGTCCAGTTGACAGTATTCACCAAACTCTGGATTGCATCTGTGGCTGCATATATGCAGACTGTTGCATGGGCGGGAGAGGGTTAACAGAGTTATAGTTCGGTCCACACGAAGAGTACGAGGGGTAAGCAAAAGGGTTAACATTGTAAGGGGTGGAGTAAGATTGTCCACCGAAATCGGGCCTTCCCATGCAAGGCTTTCCGTCTCTAACAAGTACAGGAACCGCCACCCTTCTCGGGGGCTGCATCGCAGTCAGCTCTAAAGTTTTATCTTGTCTTTGACGCTTGCATTTGTACCTGCGATTCTGGAACCATATTTTCACCTGTGTAGAAGTTAATTTCAGCATAGCTGCCAATTGTTCACGTTCCGGGGCGGAGAGGTATCGCTGCTGCTTAAACCGCCTTTCAAGTTCATAAACTTGCGCCTGAGAAAATAGCACCCTTGGCTTTCGCCTTTGCCTCTGACGTAGTAAATGACATTCTTCCACATCGGGATTGTTGCTGTTATTACTGTTTCCATTGCTATTGTTGCTGCTACCGTTGCTGTTTGAGCTCTTTGAACTGTTATTTTTTGTGTTACTTATAGGTGAGATCTTTTTGGTCTCTTCCGCGCAGTCAGCTAACTTCCCTGAAAATGAAAACACATTTTGAATTCATTGATTGAAACCTTCATCACACCTTTCTTTTTTCAAAACACAACACTGCTTCGTTTTATATACATGTAATACGACTATTCATAAAAACTGAATTACTCTAACTTAATAAAAAATGTATAATTGAAATAACCACTGTTTATTTGACTCTAGTGCGAAAGAAGTCTCCACTAATTTTAGTTCTAAAACTTTTAGTAGAATTTTTAAAATCTTTTAAATTTCCCGCAATTTTCGTTACAAAGCGAGTACAATTTGAATGATTTATATTTCTTCAAGCATTAACATATAAAATTTGTTTGATGGCTATACAGAATAAAATATATTTAAGTAAATCATGTTTTATTTCAACGCCAAAAACAATAACATAATGTTACCCCCTTTATAGTGATAACCTATATATAGCCTAATTTTATTTTGAAAATAATAACCTCAGTCAACATGCATAAGCAAAATATTCTGTTACCCTCCATCACAGTGTCAAAATCAACCTAAGCAGTTATATATCAACGTTTTTTTGTAAGTACATTTGAAGTTAAGCACTATAATATAACCTTTTATTGCTCACTGCCGTTTATTGATCGTAACTAGTTACTGAATTAAACAAAAAAATATCTGCAGCGTTTGGCTATAGTTCATTTATTCACGTCTGAGCACGATGTAAAGAGAGAAAGAGGTGATGGTTACAAATGCATGTAGCAAAATATTGTACAAAACCAACATCAGTTTATATCGAACATGCATCCATAATCCATTAATGTGATGCTCATATCACTAACATCAATAGTCACTAGCAAAATAAAAACAACAACATTAACTACAATAATAATAATAATAATAATAATTCACTGATTATTCTGATCCAGTGAATTGAATCATTTATTGCACACTAGTCCCTTTTAAGAAGGACGGTTGTGTAGTATATAACAACCCTATTGTTAAGGCGGGAACTGATAAATGTTTGTCAATTTATGTTAAAATTTCATCAACATCTTACTTTCTGTATGAGTCATGCAAACATTAAAAGTGTTTTTTTCGTAGTTTTTGCCTTTATGTCTCAAAGAATCTAATAAAAAATAGTTTTTTATTTTTCGTTTGAAACAAATTATTTCAATCATTCCATGGGACCGACGTTAACGAAACTCTTACATATCTTGGATTTTAACTGTTAAATTCAGCTCCATCTTAACCGAAACTATCAGTTCAGCCAATAAAACGCCTTTTTCTCAGTTGCTAATTTGTTGTAGGAGTGGGAATGTAAAGTTTAATGTATTTTATCCGGGTGTTTCCCGCCAAATCGAATCTTTAAAAAAGGCAATTTTCTGCGGCTCACGAATCATTACTCAAACCGTCCTTGCACTATCCGTTTCTAAAAAAATTCTTCTAAATGGCAAGCAAGTCACTGAGTCCGCCCGGTCTCCAAGTGCAATTTAGAAGGGAATATCGTAATTAAGGTTTGAGGGTTTTATCGTTTTCAAGGTTTAAATTATGAAAGATATACAGACACAAAAAATATTATTTTGGGACCGTTTAAAACGTGAACAGTACACCGTCAACGTGTGAATCGAATCTTTATGCGTGTAAATTATTTTAAAAATCCATGTAACTCAAATGTCCCTCGCAAAAAAAAAAACATACCTGGCAATTTTCTACGTGTAAAAAATTTATCTATTGGGTATACATTTCATCGTATTTCTTCCCCCACAGTTCCATGCCTGCCATGCTGATATGAAAATTGACTGAGCCGATTATTATTAGCAAGAGAGTCTACTTAAATATTTCATCCATTGTCTAAAGAACTAATTTTACTTGTTAATTTTTAAGATATGCATTTTCATACACTTAATTTTGGGTTTGATAGAAAGAGAGATAGATGAAAATGTTGAAAAAAAAAACCCAAGAGTAAATATATTACTTAACAGAATACGATATATGGAGGGAATGTTTTATAAATGAAGCACACTGACTACGTGTTTTTTTTTACAAAAGCAGTTTATCTAATCAATCAATCTAATCAATCATTTGAATAATACAGTGTGTGTGTGTGTGTGTGTGTGTGTGTGTGTGTGTGTGTTCTTTTTGTAATCATATTTTCACATGAGCACAGAATTTTCCCTCTCGTGTGAAAATGAAAGAAATTTGTGACGATAATAGTCTCATTTCCTGAGATTAAAACCAAATTCTAAAATTACATGACCAACGTTTTGATTTATTAGTTCTGTCTGAGCCAACAGAATTGTTCCTCTGCATTGTGTACCCAAAACATGAAGGGGGCTTTTCCTATCGATAAAGAAACCAGCAACTGAACCTAAACTGAATTGCAGAACCAACAAAACAGGCTGTTAGGTATGGATTTTCTAAAACATACACTCTTGCTAATATATATATATATATATATATATATATATATATATATATATATATATATATCAGTGGTTTTGTGAAAATAGTCAACGTGAAATTTAAAGAAGAGAATACATGAAGATTTTCAAAAATATTCTATCTGATCATTATTAACAAGAGAGTCTTTTCTTTGTCAATTTTTTACAGTTGTTAGATGAGATTGTCAGCAATCTTTTGAGTTGAATGGCAATGTTATTCAGTACTTGAGTCAAGCGTGAATAGATATAAATGAATATTTGGGCTCCCTATTATAGGTATTCTTTCTGGAATTTTCAAGCCAAATCGAAAAAAAATTCCCCTACTTACGAATCTTTGTCATTCTGCTCTCTACATTGCATCTACGGTTTATGCCATTTTCAATTAAACATTTTAGTTCTAAATGAATGACCGGCATATCTTACTGTACTTTTCAGTTGGAAATGTCAAAATCGGGTGTTTTTACTTAAGGGTTTACATCGTTTATTTAGATCCGATTTGGGTAAGATAAGTAGCTTTGCAAGGTATGTAGACATGGAAAATGCGACTTTCGGGCATTTTTAGCGTGGACAGTATGACTTCAAGAATTAGATTTAAAAAAAACTATACAAAACTGCATCTAATAAATAAATGTATTACAGTCACAGAAATTTGATACAGACTATCACTAAATACGTGTAGTCGAAAGTATATTACAGTTAAAAAAGAATATCCATCATCGAAAAATTCTTTGATAAATTCCATAGATACAGTACTACAAAAAACTATTATAAGTATTGTCTTTTTTTAATTAGATGGAATATTCCATTGATGCGGTTTTTGTGTTTATTTACAATGATTTTCCTATGCATAAATTGTCTGATATTTCATCTGTTATCTTTAAACCATTTAGTACCACAAACAGTATCTGGGCATCGTTGTGACGATGATAAAAGCATTCCAAAGTTGGTCTCACAGCCAGTGCACCCCGAGCAACCAAGTCTCCCATTGTCTTTTTAACAGTTGGCTTTTCTTACCCAGCTTGTAGCTCTTTATACTTTTTTAAGCGAATCTATTTTTTTTTTCACTTTGGTATATGTATGATGTTGATTTCTTAGCCTTGTTGATGAGCTTTGGCGTGTACTGCGAAGCAATTCCGCTCGCCACAGACATCAGCATTTTCTACCGCCACGAGTGTGACATTTCCCCGTGCACCTCACCCGCGTGCCTGCACCACGTGATCTGACCAACTCCACAATTCCATCACAAATGGACATCAAATGTAAGTTAAACATTGACTGCATTTAGTTTTCCTCCGGCAAACGCCATTCTTTTCTTAATTCTTTTTATTGTTTCGCCATTTCAGTCATATATATTGTTAGGTAGTAAAAAAGGAACTTTAATATGAAGGTGAACATCAACATCTTAACATCTTTTCAGTTCTCACTTTTGTATATAAAAAGACCTCCAAATCCCAATTTATAATCACAGCACATCATAAATTTACTTCTAAAGCGTTCATCTACACGCCCATTGGTGATATGACTGGTCACAAATTTGGTATTACAAGATTTTTGGGGAGACCTGATACAAATCAGCACCGACACCAATGATATTCATGACAAAACCCATTATAAAGAAAGTTGACCTCAGCAGTCGGTACCCGGATGTGGAGCTGCTACCTTGGACATGAAGAGGAGGCGTCTAATTACTTTAATTAATCGTGTCTTGCACAAATATGCAAACATTTTGAAAAGCAATAACAATAAAATTGTCATTACAGCACAAGGCTTAAGAATGCAAGTACTACATGTATATATGTCTTCACTACTGTTGTTCGCTTTGTTCGGCTTTCGTTCATTTGAGCATACAAACCTGGCTAAATGATATTTATCGATTTGAAGTTAAGAAGTGCCTTTCTCATAATGGTGTTGAAAACAGTGTAATATTCTAATATTCTTTAACACGGAAATGAGGGTGTTATCAACATTTATTTATTTTACATTAAAATTTGTTTCACTTATCTTGAACTTTTCTTCACCTTCAATACGTTTCAACAATTATACAGTCGATAAGGTGTGACATCAGTTGTCCACAAACACCGATAAATATCTCAAGAGTGACAGAAATAATTGAAGACGATAGAAGATATATTGCCTTTAAAATACACTTCCTATTTCTAACCGAGATGACTTTCATCGCCAACTATACATTACCGACGAAACCATTTCTGTTTCATTTACACAGAGTTTAGGTTTCAAGGATTGTTTCACAGAATCTTATATAAAATAACTTGTTATCTGAGTTTTAAAATTATTTTAATAATATGTCATTGCAGAGTAAAATTGGAATGCAGCAACTTTTTTCTTTTGCACAAACTCATATGGTTTCACAAAATATGAGTCATTAACTATAATATAAATATAAACCCTACCGTTAAAAATTAACTCAAATCATCAAATAGAAAAAAAATCAACACGATTATATTCAAATAATGATTATGGTAATAAGGACGTTCGAATGTTTGAATTATAAAAATTTCTTTACATAAATAATGGAGATATGTTATATCTGATTAGCACTCAACAACCTTTCCCGAACAACGTCCAGTAAAAACGTAAAATCCTAGGATATAATTAGATGTGAAAATAATACTTCGCTGATTTTTTTAGTCAAAATGAAAAATATTTGAAATAAAAAATGCAATCTAGTTAATAAAGAATGGCGTGGGCGTTTTCTGATGTCTGTTTAAAACTTTGACTTTAATTTTTGTGATTTACAGACAAAAAAAGCTTGTTTGTCCATGTAGCATATTTCCCACGTCGAGTCACCTCATTTTTTGACGCAGTTCAAAGGGAAGTCAGGCATTGAGTTTTCTTCTTCAATTATTTAGGATTCAAACTTCCTCTAATCTCTGACGTGAGGTTTTGTGTCAGACGTGTAACATGTGTCTGATTCTATCTCTTAAAATGCGTTGCAGAACTTTTTTTGTGGGATTAAGTTCGCCAACTCCCTTCAATTAACATCATTTGCAAGATTTTTTGGTATTGGTTTTGACTTTATTTTATCTCTCAGGTTACTATGCGAATATATATCTATGTGTTTTTGCAAATAAATGTTTTTGATTACCCCCAAAGACCTGTTAACATTTTCTAAATATTTGATATGTGTTCATAATGATAGGAACAATTCGACAAGTCTTTTTTTAAAGTTAAATAAACCATTTGCTTGTTTAGGGGGCAAGTTATGCAACGGGTTTCAGGCTGATTTTTCTTCTAAGATTTAGGTGATCCTTTCCCACTTTAGGTCACTTTGTACAGAGATGATATCAAGGTTCTCTCAGCATGAAGTGTTATGAATAAAATAATCGCAGCCCATTGAGTGTCAACTACCCATACAATAATCACCACGCGTGGCTTTAATTTTAAACTGGGTAAGACATTTCAGAAAGCTTTTTCTAATTAGCTACCCTGCTGTTTTAAAGTCTTCCAAAGCCTGTCTTTTTTAACGAACTTTTAATGGATAAACACAGCGCATTGTTTGTTTTGAATGCAACAAAACTGATTTAAATGTCATAATTTTAATAAATAAACCAGTGAATTACGAGCATTATAATGATATCGTACAAAAATGTGTTCTCAACTAGTAAAACGTTTCAAAGAAATTGTTGGAAAGAAGTGCAGTACCTTGATCGTACTCTGCGGAGAAAAAAGGAGAAATGCATCAATTACCCATTTTACTGACAGTTGTTGCGAAAACTTTTTAATTCATTTCAATGTAAACATTAGCCCCATTCACACCTACATGGTTAATCGAGATTAAGGGAATCGCGATTCTAACGCGCTTAGCTAAATTCACTTTTTTGTGTTCACACATGTAAAAACGAAATCGCGATTTACCTAGCTAGATCTGATAATTGCAACTGCGCTCGCTAAGGGAGTCACGGTATATCCTGTTGATCATGCGCAGTAGCTGCCTTCAAGACCATGCTTTCGGTTTGTACGTTGTTATTTTCCATTTATCTTTCATCGGCCCAAATATTTAGTTATGCTGCCACTGAGTTTTCAGACCAGAACGTCCTCTTGGCCATTTTGCTGACTGCGAAGAAACTTGAAATTGCGTGGACAGTTTGTTTTCTTTAACTTTCCAGTCGGCGAATAGCTGTATTTAGCTAATGTTTCGTTTCAATTTATACCCGACATGAAATAAAATTTATTGTTTTGTATTATATTGTACTTTCGATAGAAACTGTGTACGCCTCTTAAGTCCTCAACTTCCGGTGCTAACATCGATCCCGTTCTCACTAGGAAATTTTATATCGCGATTTAAGTTTACATCGATAGAATCCACCTCTCGAGTAGGATTAATTTGAATCGCGATTTGACGTCTCTACTGCGTTCACACTAGAAGCTTTACATCGATAGAATCGCGATTTGGCACTAATCGCGATTGAAAGTGTCTCGTGTGAATGGGGCTATTGTGAAGCTTGCTATTTAGCGACTGATGCCCTGTAACCCTATGGTGACGCTTCCCACCCGTTGAAACATTTGGCTCCATGGAATAAGCAGACTTCACTCGTATAGATTTCCCAAGTATGTGCAGTTACTGTAACGTATTGTTTTTTCAACGCATTTTTACACATTGTAACTTTGGCCCGAGACGTCCCCCGCCTCATTTAACAACAAAATGGCCATTTTCTGCGTAATTAAGCAGCGTAAACAAACGTGCAATATGGAATGTTCGGTAATTAATTGCTCCATTTCTAAATATATCGAAGCGCAAGATAAAACCCTGCGCTGCACAGCGAGTGGGCTTGCACGGCGTCTTTAGAAGTAAACATTGCAGCCCTGTCTACGTTTAGTTTATTCTAGATACTCCAAGCCGACCAACTCTCGGAAAAACCCAACTCCTCTCTTTAGCTGAACTTTTCCATTGTTTCATACAGGCAAACGTTTATCTTTTTTTTTTTTTTTTACAAACTTAAATGGTTTCAAACCAAAATACATGTCAGACCGACCAACCAAAATATATGGTTTGAAATTTGTGGGCTTTGCAAAAACGCTTCTATTATTTATTGCAGTAAAGGTAATTTGTAGCAATTTGTATATACTAGTAAACCATGGCCTTGATGTATCTTTTCCACATTTAAGACTACTAATTTCCTTTCTTTTACACAGATGAACTCGCCTTATGTCATTAAATCATCCGGTTCCGTCTTGTTTCCTGATAGTTTCTGGTGTCACCTCATGTGATAAAGGTTTAAAGTATGGCATTTCCTTCAACTCTCGCTATCTCAGTCGTGTATGGTGTGTATATCCTCGGCGGTTGGCACTTAATAATGACGTTAGTTTATTCTAGGGCCCAAAGATATATATAATGGGTTTTACTAAGTCTTACTTGCGAATCACTCCGTTTAAAAAAACTACGACAGCTGCATAGCAACTAATAAACGCTTAGTCGAAATCTTGTTGAAGAAGAAAAACAATTTGATCAATTCTACAAGTGTAAAGCACAAGTAGAGAAGAAGTCAGTGAAATCCTATTATTATATTTAGTTTAAGCCTACTTGAGCTGAGTGGTTTTGGATTCGAATGTCATTGAAGAGCTTTTCATTAGCACGAGCACGGTGAAGTATCTCTTAGAGCTGGGCAGACCTACCTATCTTAGTGATTTCCTCGCCTGGTGCACTGCTACTTGAGGTGGTGGTCGTGGTTGGTACGTTATAAGGGCAGGCACTTAGCCTCTCAATTGTGGGGGTATTTAAAGGATCGTACATAGTCGATGGAGGGGGTGAGCTCATAGCAGTCCCTCCGTACTGGCACGCTGGATTGATCATGTTCAGACCCGGGGCCTCGCTGCCCATGGCACCATGCATTGTCGGTTCTGCGTAGAAACTGCCGGAGGAGAAAGTGAGGCTGGTGTGGAAATCCATGCTGTAAGTTGTCGGCTCTGAGCCGTACTGGAGGATGTCCTTTACAGAAAATGGCGCGCCTCCTGTGTGATTGGCTGACATAGCTTTAACTTCCTCTGCCGTGTTCCCTGAGCACACATGCTGCGGTGAATCCCTGGCAAGCTGTCTTTTTCACTTAAAATTCAGTTTTGCTTCTTCTAATGGCGATAGCATTAATAATCAATTAACAGGTGCCCCGTCTGTCGACTACGAATAAACTTGCGTTTTCTCATCAGCCAATCGGAGACCAGAAGCCTGACAGATCCACGAACAGTACGCAAAGCAAGTGCATCAGCCTGAAAGAAGACAGCTCAACTCTGAAACAATGCAACAGTAACAGAAAGGCATTTCCTCTAAAGCTAAAAAATGAACACCGATTATCTTCTCCGCCACTGTTTATACTTTATGGAGGCTAATTTGCGATGCTGCAATGTTTAACGTGTGTTTGTTGTGATTAGTGGCCCGACTCCTCCTGCTTCGGCCGCTGCTAGTTTTCCATTAGAACGCGACGTAACACGGAGATAAGCGCCGCGCAGGTGAAACCGAAGCCTCCTTGGATGGGGGGTCACTGTTAAAATGTCGCATCAAATGCATGAAAGCCCGCCGTACTATCAGTGAGCCGGGTCTATGATTGGACGGGCTTGCCATTTAGCAGTTATGTGATGACAAGGTTGACTAGGCAATCAATTAACGGCGGGATCGGGCGTTTAGCCGGCCCCACTTAATGTCAAAATTGTTTAACTCATTCGATCCCTTGATTTGTTTAATCAGGACGGGAGGAACGAGAAAATATTTGGCTCTGAGATAGGACAGAATTTTTCTAATAGCACTGTATGTCTTTCCGATATACGCGGCGGTTTAGCCGCAACTACTGGATGTCCCGCTATAGTGACCACATTAACGTTCACTGAGACTTCATTCATATTAAAAACAGATTTTTAGTTTATTTTGTCCCTGGACGATCTTTCTGTGTGGCTCTCAGTTGTGATTAACGCCTTTATTTATCACTTTGTCACTGGAATTGAGTACTCTATCGCAGGCAAGCATCTGCAGTCCGATTTTCCGCTTCCATACACTTTCAAAGGCTCAAGGCTCAATTTAGAGGAAAATAAAACAAAGAGCCTTCCGTGTAATTTTGAGTGCCGATCATATAACGACAACGATCCCCGTACGGCGAAATCTTTCGCCTGCAGCTTGACACCCGATGCCCGTTTTGTTTTACTGCATATATTAAATTGATTTGATTGTTTTGTTGGTAAGACATCGTTTTAATCGAGGTGAGTCTCTCTAATGGGTCTTCTATGTTAGGCGGATCAGTTAACAAGACGGTGTCAGCTCTGATGTATTCACCACCCGGGGTAGCGAGCTCAGCAGACGACTCGGCGTCCTTGGTGGGAGGGGGAAGGTAGAGGGGTTTGCAGATTCTCACCTTGATATAATTGTGGATTTTTTTCCACTGTTTTTTTTTTTTTTTTTTTTTTTTTTTTTATATATATATACAATAATAATATGAATTTTTCCTTTTGCTTTCAGTTTCGTATTAGTGTGAAAAATAAAAAAGGACAAGAAAAGAGAAAAAAAGTCAAAGAAGCGAGAAAAAACAATGAAATGATATTGTATGGAACGCTGTACATAACATTTCCACATTTTTTTTTCGAAACGTAATTCGTGTGGTCCAATTTCTCACGCATGTTACCAGGGCCATAAATCACATTCTTTTGTATTCTTTTTAAAACTTTCTTTGGTCTAAATGACGGGGTTACCACACATTGATCTCAGGAAAAGAAAAACGACACCACACACGTGAGAATAAAGCAGTCGAAGCTTATCCAGAACTCCACAGAACTTTTCATCCATTTCATTTCATTGGCGATTTTTATCATGACGCACCGTGGAATACATGTATCTTTTCACCCTTTTGATAAAACAAAGGTTTAACCATACAAAAGAAATTAATTAAGCTAAATTATTATATTATTTTTTGTCTTTTTAACAAAAGTGAAGTAACAAAAACTTTTTTCACATGATAAAAATTGTGGTACTGTGATCTTTTTTCTTTCTTATTTTTCGGTTGCGGTTTTGTCTGATGTTGCTTGTGACATATTTTTACTGCAGTCAATTGGTCTTTATGTAAATGATGAAATGTATACATTTGTTTGCAATATAGCTTTTTGTTCAAAACACACGTACGTATTAATAACGAGCCAAATATGTGATTGAATTATCAAAACATATTCACTTTAAATGGTTTTTGTGCTTTTTATCAAATAAACACCTATTGCAAACCTTCTTTGGTGGTCATTTTCGTGGAGTTGCTTTACGCTGACCAGGACAAGGACGAGACGCCGCACTGAAAAAAAATCACGACTATCAGTCACCGATTATTTAAAATATTTATGTCTGTTTGTATTATCAGATTTTCTTCTTTCCGGCAAATAGAGCTCGGGTACGAATAAAAAGACCCAATTAGAAATTAAAAATGATATTCAAATTTAATTTTGTTCACCAGAAAAATATTATAACGGTTCACTCGTAATCTTTTAATGCTTCTTACATTTGGTTCATACATACCTATAGTTAATTTCTATTAAATAGTAACTACTCTCAAATAAGACATGCGATTCGAAGAAAGGCAACCCAATAGTGGCAAGTCCAGGTTGTCAGAGCCGATTAAGCGTCGGAGAAGGTCCTTTGATATTTTAAACGACAACGACAATAAAAAACGCATTGATGCTCCCGCCACCCAAGATTAACGCCAGTTTTTCATATTGTTAAAGAACGAAGCTCCTGGCTGAGGAATACGAGCTCCTTACGTATTCGGTGTTGTATTTTCATCAAAACCTCGAATAAAAGTCCTTAATTGAGAACCCGCACATAATCCCGCAACTGCAACTGATAGCGAAATAGAATGCACTACCGGTTATTTACATCAAATTATGTCAATGCTTGTAATTTTAGAAATTAATAGCTGTGTAGTGTCATTCCATTTCTGTTGTAATGTGATCGAGCATGCTTTAGTCTTTTTTTTTCCTATTTTACATTTCTCTTCATTATTTTAGCAATTTTAATCACTTAACATATATCGACATTTATTTTTTGATATAAAATATGTACGTTTTTATTTATTTATTCTGTTTTAAATTGCATTGTTAGCTTACTGCAGGAAATTAAATTTTGCGCTGTTAAAAAATATTACATGTTGATTTTACATTTTATGAAGTTTCATTTTCGGCACGTCAAAGAATTTGCGCATAATGATTATTATCATGATGTCTTCCGATTTTGAGTAATTCTAACCAGGTGATTATAATCGCATTTTTTAATAAATTCTTATGAAACTATGCCTCCGTTAATTTTATTATGGTTCTGATTCTAATACTGTAAATCTTTGTGGGTCCTTGAATTCACACGTGTGGGCCGTGTCCCCGGGGCGGCTCCTCTTTTTGGAGGACTACACACTGACGCATGCATATCAACATGATGTTAATAACGTGCACACTTCTGAACGGAAGGCATGGTCTTGTAGTTGAATGGCTGCCTGACAGTGGTAAGCATGGCGAGGTGGCTGATCAAGCGCCTCCACCTCACATTTCTGCAAATCTCACAGCGAGTTGTCATCACTTTCGGTAAGCACTTCACTTCAGATGTGTGAAATCAGCAATAGATCCTGTGATAATTGAAATGTAAACATGTTCAACCACTTAGATATCATAAGATTCTTAAGAATGATATATCAGAGAACTCCGAGGCGGGACGTGGGGTTTCTAACGTGCTGGCCAAATGTTCGCTGTGAGGAATTCGGTTTTTGTAAAACATATTTTATGGAAGTGCGATTATAAGGATAGACATATCGCGGTTGTGTTCAGTCATAAATTTCAACAAAACCCTATCCTTTGTTTTGCATTTTATTCTAATTAAAGCCCAAACCACCTGTTGGTTAAGCTATGTATTTAAGCCTGTGCAAGAAAAATGTGCGCAAATTAATGCTACCGTTGCATTTTATACCGTACGCATTGTAGCAGAGGGAAAGATGATTCACAAAAGCACTCTATTTGAGTGCAACCCCAGGAAAATAATGTGAGTGTTTTACCAAAAATCAGTTTTCCATTAACACCAAATTTGGAAATGTCTCCAGGAGAAATTTCTAGTTTTCAATGTCTTCTTCTTTTAAGAGACGTGAAGTTAAACCACGTAAAGTTACGCGTGCCTCTGCAATCCGAAGTCATGATGAGCTATTTGATAGCGTTTCAAAAGACACCTCAATGACTGGATACTTAAGGTTGAAATTTGAACTAGAAAAGATCAAAGGCACATTTTTCACTGATGGTTTAACCCTCTCTTACTTCGCTCATCAACTCATAGCTTGAAATATGTATGATGATAGCCTCTTTGTATCCATTCTACTGTCTGTCTGTTTGTCTATCTGTCTGCTGAGGTTTTTTTCTCTTTTGTGGATTCTTTTTGCAAGTATGCCTGTCTAGATATTGATCAGGGTGCTATTACTTACCACAGCTGTGTAGAAAACAAAATAAATGTGAAAATAAATTCGTAGTTCTAATCAAATCCTTAATTTTAGACAATCTTCCATATTCATATTATCGGTGTTATAGAAAAAAATAGAAAAAAATCTAGCAATTTTATTTCGTGGTGTAGTTCAACCGTATTTAACCCCAGAATGGCATGTTATGCCATTTGAAATATCTGTTTCACTGTCAAGTATTTTGTATATTTGACAACACTTTCAATGCCTGGATTATCATCATTATCATTATATCACATTAAAAAATCAAATCATTTCTTTAAGGAAGTTGGGAAAGATTGTACCGTTGTCAATCAAGGAAACATCCTGAGGTCACCCCGAATGTTTGACTTGAAATGAAATACAAAACTTTTCATTTATTTGTTTTGTTTTGATTTCATTGTTTTCTTTCAGTCGCGTCCCTTTTAGAAAATATATTTTATATGGAAGACAAATTGTAAGTAAAAGAAAATTGTTCTTTTTTCTTTTTGTGTAAAAATATGAGAATAAGTGAAATTTTGCTGTATGGTATATTTTACTACTACAATATCATTTTTCTTGTAAGGAAAAAGACGAGAATAGGTGGCATTATTCGAAATCGTATATTTTATTACTACATCAGCAATCTTATAAATAATCAATATATCAACCAAAAAAAAACCGTTGTCTTTTTACGACATTTGTACGACTTATCGTCAATTCTGTACCCAAAAACACGATAATTTCAACTTCCATACCATAAACATTCATATTACTTTTTTTTCAAGAAGGCGTCATCTTTGCATGCCGAAGTTTAAACAAGTAACACACAATATATTGAAACAAAATGGCAGCTGTGATGGGTGTGTGCATACTGATTTATTTCATTTCTCTTTTTTAGAACAAAGTTTGGAGCCACCTCGGACTATCACACCCAGTCTCACACTGAAGGAGGCTTAATTAAGAACCACACCAGGGCACCTGCATAACACAATGTACATATGTGCTTTTATAGTCTTTTGGAAGAGAGAAAAAATGCATTCCTCTGTATCAATACACGTATAGTATTTTGTGAGAGCAAAGTGCACACCCAGAAAGAATAACTTATTTTTTCTCTTATATTATGTTTTTATGTATATTTTGAGAACTTAACTTGGTCCTCTTTACACCACTTTTTGTGCCTATCAAATCTCTTACACTGTCTTGATCTAATTTAATATCCTATCATTAAATATCCTCAATTTTTTTTATGGTTAATATTTTTTCCTGGGAAACATTAAGTGAAAAGGCGTCAATTTAGTTTTCTTTTTCATTTAAGTGCCTGTGCTTACCTAAAAGAAGTTTTATTTGTCGGATTAGTTACATACTACAATGCAATTTTCATTTTAAAGATATCGAGGCAAACGTTATATTGTAGCTATTTTTTCAGTTACACACATTCCTTTCCAATCACTAGCTTTTATTGAAAAGAATACATTGAAACAGATGATACGAATCAATAATGTTTTTATATATAACACACATATATGTAATGGTGTTCCTTGTCTACTGAAGCAGGCCTATGTGCCCTGATACTCGCCAGCTGATCCAAAGAAATAACTTTTTTTACTTCCTCCAAGTTGGCATTGGCATAAGATAACGTCCACAAGACAGTCTGCAGGCCGACTGCTACGATAAACATGGCGTTTTCCCCTCACCGTGTCCATTAAGAGGAGCCGTGAAGGTGGTAGGAGGCAACCCGAACCCTTCGTGTTTAAACAACTCGAGATTTTGTTGTACAAATGTTTTAGTTCGGCCGTTCTCTCTGGCTGAGGCAGAATGGAAACAGTATACAAACATTGCATAAGCGCTCAATACTGCGTCAATCAAACTGGCCGTGGCAGGAGCGTCTGGAGTAGATAGCCCTTCTGATCGAGAACATTGTTATTCGCACACACGCGCTCGCGTGCTTCTTTCTGTGCTTTTCATTACAACGAAGACATTAAGATTAATTCTTATAATGTTCATGAGTATACTCACACTAATATGTAGTATGGAAAACCCTTCTTTGAATGCGTCACTAGGGATATATTTTTAATATGTATATTTGTCTGCTATTGATATAATTTATTAGAATGCTTGGTTTAGCGAAAGGCAAAAGAAGTTACTTTTGTAACATTAATCGAGATATATTTCATCTTGGGTCATATCACGATTGCCGCGCCATATCTTCCATTGCGTTTGTTGTGACAAGGTTGCCAATTGATCTCAGCAAACACCTTCAGCCCTTTATGTAAAATGCGAAAGAAGTAAAATTCTTTTTCAGAGTTCATTTTTTACTGATATCTATATATTTATTAGATCTAATTTCCTGAAATTCGTACAGATAAATAAAGTTGATATGTTGGGTTTGATGATTTTGTCTATTTATTTTATTTATTTATTTCAAAGGGGTGAATTATTAATTCATCTATTTATCTGTCCACTTATTTACATGTATTTTATTCATTTATTTATTTATCTGTTCATTTATTTATTTATTTATTTATTTATAAAGTGGAAATAAATAATGGTTAGGGAAATCGAGTCTCGGCCGTCCAAAATGGAGTATTAAGATGTTCGAATGTATTGAAAATTGAATCAATAAATTATTGAATCTATTGAATGATATTATTATCAAATAGGTTTAGACGGTAGATAAACTTTCAATCTTTATTTTCTTTCTAAAAATTAAATTCAAACATATCACAGAGCTCGAATATCTCTTCACCTACATAAAAATCAAAATTCTTAAAGAAAAAGAGAGAGAGAGATTGACACTTGCTAAAATTTAGATGCAGCTTAGTATGTAAGTATGATGTATAACCAAATAGAGGACCAAATGTTATCGTTTATTTTCTAACACCGAGTGGCTCACCACTTAATCTCTTCTTGAAATCAATATATCACGGATTTTTTTTTTTATTTTTTTTTTTTTATTTTTATTTTTTTTTTTTTTGCGGGATTTGTTTCTTATGCCCCCTTTCGCACGATCTGAACGAGACATTAGTTCAAATGCAGTAGGTGCGCTCTATGTATTTTCATATTTTCTCCTCAATTGCAATGCGTAATGGGAGCCTCAATTTTATTTTCCACGCTAAAACCAGACAGCAAAATAAGAGTGCAATATGGGAAATGCATATCTAAATTCTATTGACATCTTCACCGTGATTATCAAAACATACCATCTTGATCACTTTTACCACTTATGCCCTGCCGCTGAACTGCTAAAACAATTAACATGGGATTTATTGGGTAATTTATAGAGAGTGGGCCCTTAATGTAATCGTTTATTTTTGTAACCCCGAATAATAGGGGCATGCCAAATAGAGAACTCACTTAGTAGGTGAATGGCGTCCCCTGCCATAATCTTGTTAGCTGTATAAAAGAACACTCTATGAGAATAAATCATCTATCAATACAATGACCCATTTCTGCCTATACTGGTCAATAAACTTAAGTTAATTATCGAACTTAAGGCATTTATACAGACAGATAAAATGGAATTTATTGGACAATTAATTTTGGTCACTAAAGGTAACTAGTTTTTCTTATGTACTTTTCATGGAGCTTGTTCGATTCACTTTAAATTCATCTAATCTGATTTCATTGGCACTTTTGTTCATACCTTGAAATAGCCGCTGCCGTTTCCTTTATTTCCCTGTATTCGTTTTCTTTCTCCTTCTATGCATACTCACAATTCTGCAGAATATTGTACTTTTTTTCAAAAAATGCTTATATGTTTAAGAATATTTAATAATAACCTCTCTCTCTCTCTCTCATTCTCTCAAAACTCATTAAATTCGGCAGCATAAGCATTTTCTTTCAGACCCCGCTTATTAAGTTTTACGTGTGAAGTTAAGTGTTAATTGTCTTTACCTGTATGTTCTTATATGCGTGTAAAGTGCAGTAATGGATAAGCTAACGCTTTTTAAAGGAGGTGTGTTACTTCTGTAAGTTTGATGTCACTTGACGGTTAGCTGTTGCGAAAATCTAAACATTGCTAAGACAACGCGGAAAAAGTGCCACCTCTAACACGAAGCAGTTCGTAGTATTGTAAACACTGCGCCACTCTCAATTCAATCCACATGATGGAGGACGAGCAAGTTTATAAAACAAAACAGTAAAAAAGTAACTTTCCCATGCCCACCTTTAAAAGACAGGAAATGAGTGTATAACTGACAGCATCAACAACAGACCGGGCTTCTGTAAATCAGTATTGCGCTTAACGTGATTACACTTCTTGAATGTCATCTGAACAGTTAATTCAGGACGCGGTGATGTTGTGTGCATGTTGGATTTCTTTACAAAGTGCATTTTATTACATACATATTCCGTTTTCTATATTGATGACGTCATTGCCTCATGTGCGTTCAGCTGTGCCTTTGTCTTTAAATGTATGCGTACTTTTCTAACAAGTTCATGCCGTTTTTACATATTTATTTCTTTTTTTATTTCCTTTTTCCATTTGGCTGTTGAAATGTGTTTCAGAATATTAATGCACGTATATTTCCAACTATTAGATAGTTCTTAAAACAGAACACTTTTCTGTATCATTATATTTTTCACTCAAAATCGCAGCTAAGAATACTAAAGCTCCAGTTGCTGCTTTATCTAAAATCTATCCTTTTCTTAAACAAGAATTACGGAATAGGGCAGACATACAATTTCCTTTGTTAGAATTCATATCGGCTTATTCAAGCCACTTATTCGCGCCGTGTCATTTCACAAATCTGTTCTTTTGCCCAATTAATAACTTCCTATGTTCCCCTGATAAACGTCCAAATAATCACAGCAGTCCTGATTGACATGCCGTAAGATTTGAGACACGGCACGAAACAGAGATTTGTCAGCTCGGCCTTTCCCAGCGTCCTAATTATTAATTAATACCTTCTCGTTAATTTGACATTTTAATCCAGCGTGCCGCTGAATGCCCAGATGTGAGCTTTTGGGCAGTGAGATCGAGGATCAGCCCAGGGATAATCAATAATGCAGGGATTAAATGGAGATAGGTGAGGAAAGCGGCAATTGATGATCGATTTGTGGCTGCAACACACCATAATATCGCGGGAAAACTGAATAAATTGTCAAATAATTGTATACTGTGGGGTTAATAATTGGCTTTCTTTGAAGAAGTTGGTGTTTGTTGTATAAACTGGCAACACTGATTTGTTCTAATGGAGTTACTCCGGTACATTTGTTAGTTACGAATAAAAACGTTTTTCTTATATTCTAATCTCATTCTTATTTCTATTACTTATTTGAGCTCAGTTATGCTTGAATCTTGTTAAGAGCTGTCAAAAATATTTTGTCTTACATCACTGCCGATATATCTAGTGTAAATTTTCTTAATTGTTAGTTCTGTTAACATAGTAACGTTTTTAAGACAGAGATACATGTATAAAAAAGTCCGAGATGTATTTGTCACAAAAAACATATTTTCAATGTACGTGCAAAATGGCCTCTGTATGGATTGAGATGACAAGTACAGTAATAGCCACTATTTATCAAATTGTTGATATATTTTTCGAGCCTGCTCTGAGCCCTAAGTAACGGGTTCCAATTGTTTTATAAATATACACAGAACACAGAATACAGATGTACAAATACAAGTATGGCAGAGTGACGCAACACTTAATGTGATTCCGAAAAAACAGATCCTTGTTCAGTACATCGAGAAATCATAAACAACGAAAAAAAAACATAAAAAAAAACATCGACAACCAAAAGCACAATGTGTAAATGTGTACGATTAGAGTGATTTCTGTTTTTAACAGCAAATAAATACTTTTTGCAGACCTTTTGACAATAATAATAGTGTCTTAGATGTTTAATGCTTTTCTAGGTATAGTTCCCATAAACTAAATAATGCTTTCATAAAAAAAAATGCCCAACATATTTTAGAAGTGTCCTACTTCCCTCCATATATTAGTCGTTAAATTGTTAGACAAAACGAATATTTGTATATATCTCCAGGTACGAATAACTCCAAGTAAAACCTAAATTTTTTGTCATTCAAAAACAGCTGTTTTCTTTTTCTTATCGTCGTTTTCGACAAAAAATGCTAAAACAGGTTAATCCTTGTATTTATCATATCCTGATCCCGAAGATTTAACGGTCTTCTTGGAATAACTTTTGACTCTCCGTTTAAGCGATGACCGATTCTTTCATTGTGGACAAACTGTCTGCTGGCTGATGGTCAAAATCAGAAGCGATAGAAACTGAGTCCCGGAATGGGAAAAGATGGAAAGAGGAGAGGTCTTGGTATTTCACTGGGATCGTAGAGTCTTTGATCATCTTTAATAAGCACCCTGACGGCAACTTTCTTAGCTTGCATGGGCAGTGAGTGGTCCTGTAGTAGATGGCGACGCTTGGTCTTGTAACGGCGGTTTTGAAACCAAATTTTCACCTGTAGTAAGAACACGATTATTATTTCACGGGATTTATTGCCACACGAACCTCGTAAAAGTAATTATGAGACAGAATTGTGAGAAGGAAAATATCTTAAAAATTGCCATTATGTATTGTCAAGAAAACAGGGAGAACACGCTCTTTGAACATTCAGTCAAAACAGTCGATTAAAATACGACAAAGATGTCACTATATGTTCCGGTTCGATCGAACTATACTTACCTGTGTTTCTGTGAGTTTTAATGCTGCCGCCAAGTCTGCTCGCTCAGGGCCGGACAGGTAGCGTTGGTGACTGAACCGTCTCTCCAGTTCGAACACCTGAGCATGAGAGAACGCAGCTCTGGAGCGCTTCTTACGGGGTTTATTTTTGCCCTGGGGAGGACTTTCTGGTACGCAAGATGACGCAATGTGGCTTTCTGAAATTAAAAAAAATTATGAGCACTGCTTGACATTTATAGAAATGTTAAGCGTCACGTAATTTTAACCGTAGCCTAAGTGCTGTAGTCAAATATATCATGTTCAGTAAATAAAGACTTATTTTGAGAAGAAAAATATTAAATATATGTTAAATTTGAATGTTCATAGAGCTAATAAACTTTTTTATTATGTGAGGAGTTGAGAGACTGATTTGATGGCAGGTCCAACGAACGAACTTTGCAGCATCATAGGCTTAGGAGCCGGGTGTGCTGGGGTAGGGGGGTTGGGGGAGTAAGGGGACCTGTCCACTTTTTTAAGTTAGTTGAATACTTGAATACGTCATTAGAATATGACGAAGAGGCTGAGACCCCAGCCAACAGATGCCAAAGTTCTATAACATACCCCTTGCTAAATGTTTTCCCTCTCTAAATGAAATGTAAAAGGTTAGCACCCACTCGGCATAAAATATTCTTGCTTTCTACGCACCAGTAGTATTCAATATAGTGTAAGAAGTATATTTTAGATTTGGTAATATGGGGTATTCAAGTTCTCAAAGGAAACATGGTGATACAGACCAAATTTTGTTAAGTATTTTATCTTATTGGCGGCGAATCACCAGTCCAAGCCCTAATTCAACTTCAACTACACTTCGACATACACGCAAAATATTTCGCAATTTTGAAGTTCGTAACTCAACATTCTGTGAAGATTATAAAAATCGAAGAGTTGCCACCCGATAGGTCTACATTTGATTCAAAATAGGTGAAACAATTTAACAGCTAGAAGAGAAATGAGCTCATGAATTATTTTTGCAATATCGTGTGTTTGCACTTTCAGAACTGCATGTCTCTCATTGCAGATTTATCGGAAACCTTGCCATTTTACCTATGTAAAATCAACCATAACATTATGCGACTTATTTTGGGTAGCGTTGGTGTAAATTACAAACGCCGGTAAAAAGACCATTAAACTAGGCCCTACTCCAAAATGGATATTTTTATCTTATTTTACTTTTAGACATGTGAATCGAATAAACCACTGAAATAATGTAATGCTGGCATATAGCTGCATCTGACTCACAGCCTGGAGAAAAATCTGTGGCTAACATAAACTGTTTGACAAGAGTACCTCCACCAAATGTCAGATTTTTTCTCACACTCCTTGTGTTGAATATTTCATTAAACAACCACAACTCCTTTCTTTGACAATCCCCAGACCTTCCGTTAATTGGTTCCCCCCGCCCAAAAATTATATATGATTTTGTTTTTGTGATCCCTGCCTCTCAAGTTGTAAATTTTAGAAGTTGTCATCTATTTAAGTTACATCCATCCGGCACGACTTCATTCAATCCCTATACTAACTTTTTTCATGCAAATGTTTCCCACTTTTTAATTTGTCAGTAATTGCCATGCCACGAATTTATAAAAGATGATAGTTTATTTGATTTTAATTTCCATCGTAAAAACCAACATGTGGCATCTATGGCAACGGGATGTGTGGCATCGGAATCCGGCCTCCCTCAGTGGAAGAGCACTCATGTGCAGACGTTCTAAATTGTCAAGAAACAATACGAAAATAACGGAAGGAATTTACGACATTGTTCTCTCTGAGGCTGGAGTTCAGTAGCCACCTGCTATGTTGTGACGGTTTATGTAAATAGGCAGGTGTGCAGTGACACATTCGGGAAAATAATATCTAAAGACTGCAGACACTTTGTTCAAAGTCAACGTGACTGTTTAATTTGGTGTTTGAAATATGTGTTTCGCCCCTGGATGAAATGTTTTTATTCTCCAACTTAATTTTGCTAGATTTAAAAATCGGTCAAAATCCCAAGCATACTTAAACAACCCTAAAAAACGTCTAAGAGTAAATGTGAATAGGTTTTAAAATTGTTTTTTCATTACAGTTTTGTAACTATTTGCAAAATAAGGTCGCCATTCGAATCATTCCGCAGAACCAGAATAAATATCACAAAGTGATTTTTAATTAAAAACACTTCATCAAGAACTTCAAAGATATATGATTAATCTGTACTATCACACACAGTTGCCGGGGTTTTTATAAACAGGGTCTTTCCTAGAAGGCGCATAGTAGTGCCGTAGAACAGAGTTGTTTTGATGTACTTACAATTATGGAAGAAAAAGGTGTTAATGTCATTACGTGGTTGTCATAACCTCTTAACAAGCCATAAATTTGCTTAAGTGCTCTGTCAAATGGAGACAATGATAGTTTTACATCGGTTGCACACTGGTTCCTAGTTTAAAGCTTATCATACATAATAATTGATGTGTAAAATTAAGGGGCAGGGGTTAAGACATATTTTTGAATGGTGATCCCTTTCACACATTTAAGTAACATTTGTCTACATGATTTACGACGAAATAGAGGAAAGTGCTCTCGAGCCACTAACACCTTGTGTGTAGAAATCTCTCCGCAGTATATGCAAATGATTCACATTTCACTCGTGTTTCTAAGTAGGCGCTCATTAAACTCTGCCTCACCTATATATTTTCTCGTTCTTATGAAGTTACCCACGTCTTTGCCATTTCCTCTTTTAATATGCACAATTAACATCTGACCGTACAAAACACGCTGTGGCATTAGCCCATATGTATTCATAATACTGTATGCATCTTGACTAATTTAAACCTATATATTAAAACTATTATTTCCATGTTATTTTAAAACTGTGATATATTAATGAACGGGGTAAAAACAGGTGGAAACACTTGCGCACGCTAAAAAAAAATTAAATTTCATTTCATATAAAAATGAAAAAAAAAGATTCTTCAAAACCCCACTACCCTTTTGCAAATCAACGGAGTTCTCTGTTCATTATCTCAGTAAGAAGATTTGATAGTAGAAACTGCATACCACGCTACAAAACTGTTTTTTTTTCCTCGATAAGGAGGGACCAAAAAATCAATGAAAGAAGAAAATCTAAATAACATTTATGATAAATATGCAATTAAACCAATTAATTTTCAAATTAACATTGGCAAGCTTTCTGTGGCTTGATTGTCCAGGATTTTATATAAATTCATACTATGTTGGGGAAGCCTTTTAGCAGGAATTCCGGTGCAAAATATAGTTATAAGTCCAGCAAATGAAAAGGACAAGTATGCATATAAATCTCAATTTATAAGTAGGGTATATACTCAATAAGTAATATTGTGTTATTGTAAAAGATGGCATATGAACAGAATTGCCTTTTTCTTTCACCGGTTTATTTTAACTCATAGGGCAAAATATGCACACGTGTATCACTATAATAATAAAATAATTAAATGGGAATGACATTTTGACATATTGCTGGATATTACTGATTTTTAACATTTTAGAAATTGGTGTTCTCTGCCAATATTTTGCGATAGTTAAGACATCTTATGCATGTAGAATTATAATTTACGCTGCTAATTAATAGTGCACTATAACTGGTTGCATTTGTTTAATTAGACACAAAAGTTGTCTTACAAAAATTCTGCTTATTTTGTTTATACTATCAAGATATTTTGAATACTTTAAAAACTTTTAAAATTTTGTTATCTTACATTATTTGTCTAATACGTTTGACAGCAATATGACGATCAATTACAAATTTGCAGAAGTCATATTTTGCTGTGATGCCATTGAATTGACAAGACATTTTAAAAAAGACCACAACGGGTTTTTTACACAATTGACACCATTACAAATATCAAGAAAGATTTTTACCATCAAAATATGCACAAGCACTTTCATTATAAAATTTCAACTGTGCCTGTTTATTGCTGATATTATGAAATCCCCATTTCACTGTATGTTACCTACCCGTTAAAGAAGTCATCTCTATGTCATCAGACACCATTTGACACTCTTCACTTTCTGAATATAACTGTGAATCTTCCTCAGAATCGACAACCTCAATTTCCTTTTCGTGTTCATTTTCCTCGAAATATTCTTTTCTATTAATAGAATCAGCCAATGGATCTGAATCCATCGTCTCCATCTTGTTTTCGGACGAGGTATTATCTGCAGATGAATTTCTGCAGTCATCTAGGCCCCTGTTTGAGTCCGCGTGACATCCTAGGTCTATTTTCACCTTTTCTGAATTTTCGATTGGCTTATCTTCGACCTTTAAACGTTCAGAGAGTTGAATGTGACTTGATTCTGCTGGAGGTTCTTCTCGGCTAGAATATTCTTTCTGGGGGTAACGTGTCAGACACTCCATCAGATCCGTGCATTTTTGGTCTACGCTTGCAGTTATTAACTTAATGTTACCGCTTGCTACTGTTTTCATTCTGTTCGTAAGTATTGCATCGATGGAAAAAGGGGTACTGGCGGTTGTTCTCTCCGTCTTGTTCATAATACATCGCCGGGAGTTCTCCTCCGTATCCGTCATTATAACTCCCCCAATCCACCAAGTCCAAACTTTATTATTCCTCAGACGTGACGGCCACGGCAAGACAGTCTTTGGATTCAACTCGCTGACATGGAATCGGCTTTGGCACTATAAACGCCAATATTAACCAAACAGAGCGAGTCCAGGTAATAAAATCTTGTTGCCACCTATTTTTCTTCACTCTCTTACGTAAATCATACGCCAGCAGTGTATAATATTAAGGAACGGTGAGCATGTACCCCAAGACTCTTCCCTCGTACACTTTTCTAGTTAAAGACGAGGAGGCCTGCCCCTTCTATTTATATACTCTTCAGTTCAGCACCTTTGCTACTAAACAATTCATCAGTCAGGGGCAATATTTCAATTCCGTCTTCATCACGTTGGCTTGACAGCTTCATAGTCGGATTGGCAGATCCACAGGCTCCCATGAATCAACAGCGGTCGCGGACACGTGATCGGCCCCCGAACTACTGGAAATCCATTTAACCAACGAGCAAAACAATCAATTCATACTTAAGCTTCATTTTGGGGCTTCCCAGGCATTTGACACTATTTGTTGGCATAAGGCGGATATGCGACTTATTGGTTTTCCGATCGTCTAATTAGAGCGATTAGCCCTTTGATTAATTTACCTGTAATTAATTGCTGTATTTTCATTGGTCAAGCGGATCCGAGAGGAATTATCTCCGACAGTTTGATAGCAATTACATCCACTACCGGTAAAGCACCCCTTGCCCACGAGGAGGACGCGGTGTTTATTTGCGCTAAACACAGAACTCGTTCTCCGTTACCACTTTCTTGAGGATGTGAAACATACACATCAGCCCCTACTCATAACATACTCATTGTCTATTTACAAACTTGATAAACGAAAGCAGTTTCTTAAAAGCCCCCAATAGGAGTTCTTGTCGGTCTCTCTAAATGGCCTGCTTGGGTGGTCGACGATATTTAGTAATCGAGGATCATTAAAAGAAAAAATATAATAGTTTTTTATTTGACTTGAGCAAAGATTTCTACTTGGGATTATCTGATTTATAGCATTGATTGATTTACCTAGACCGTGACTAAATACTTATCCCAACTTGATCTGGGAATGCCTATGAGCGTGAGAAACAAGTTAATAGGCGTGCAAATCTTAATCCTTATTACTGGAAACACATCCTATTAGGCATGAAGGCGTTTCTGTTATTTCATAATAAAGGCTATATTTTTAAGGTATTTCTTTGAAAATGTTGATATATTTTATCCCTACCCTTTTCTGTAGTTTATAAAACTCTTAGTTAAATTTTGATTGACAGGAGATCAGACAATTAATATTTTCGTAAGTCGAAAATCAATAGAATTATGTTTTGTTGGCTACTCTTGGGAAAATGATTTGAAGGATATCACAATCCTGTTACTCTGATTGACGAAGCTTCTATATTATTTTTACTTAAGCGTGTAGTCTTTGTTCATTGCAAGAAAAGTATTCGATATTAATGAAAATAAAAAATCGTGCCCTAAGTGGTGCTTGTCAACAAATGAAAGTCATAATCATCTATGGAAACACTCCTTTGTTTAAATGTTAATAAATTGTGGTGTCCTTTAAAGGGGAAATTTAGTTAAATTTATTTGCATTTTGTACTGCTTGAAAGATCACTTGGATTATTGCATCACTTAAATTCTTTCGTTGATATTCAAGCAAAATTTGTTATCAAGTTATATTGACTCCAATATTAAATATATTTCATAGTGATTTCACGTGTGATTCATAATTCTGTATGTTTGTGACATGGAAAAAAATCCTCCCCTCTCTCTCTCTCTCTCTCTCTCTCTCTCTCTCTCTCTCTCTCTCTCTCTCCGCCCGCTGTCAGACAGGAGAGCAGAAGAAAAGCACCTGTCTAAAAGTATGTTATGTGTGCCCGCATACGCATTAAACTCTGGAGGTGTACATACTGAAAACAAACACTGACTTCCACTTAGCAGCGAACACAGCGGTGAACAGGCCAGCAGCTTCTCTATCGCCTATCAATCAAACCCTGACACTGCCAACAGCACTCATGGGTGAAAATAGAATTAAATACTGTGAATTAACATATTCAAATTTTAGTTCCTTATCTTTCACTCATATCCTATGTAAGTTGATTCACTGACAATCTATAGTGACATGATTGTAAAGCACTAAGACTTACCGTTTGAATTTAGCGTCATTCTTAGTTGGTGAAATGTATATTTATTATTTTCTTTAATTCTCCTTCAGCTATTTGTCGCCCTATTTATCTTTGGCGATTATATTATAGACCGTTTTTATGAAGTTGTTGAACCATGGCGTTTTTACACTGTTCAGTTACAGTTTGGGTCGTCGTATTTCACTATGTTTAAGAAGAAACGAGGTTAATTCAAATACATTTTATGTCTGCAATTTAATTTTGGATACAGACGATATTGTTGTAAATGGCTGAAAGCAAATCAGGTTATTGATGATAAGATGGGATAGGCAGTGTTTTGATAAAATAAAATTATATATATAATAGTTTTTTTTCCTAAAATGAATAATCACACATATTTACGATTTAGAAATCCCTTTTCAAGAAAAAATTATTATTGGGTAACTGTCGGCTATCCCAGTTGGTATTATTACACAAATTAGTCACAGTGCTCACTTTGAACGGTGCTAGAATATTTCATCTGCGTTTTTTGTAACTTGATGTTCTCGATTCAGCTTATTCATATTCAAAGATTGACACCTGTTTCAACCGTGCATCATTTTTAAATATTAACAGTAATTCTTTAGACTTGGCAGCAGCTCAAAAAATATTTTCTTTCATATTCTGTCATTAACACTATCCATTACGGTGCTTGTAGACACACCCTTTATTATACCACATTACAATTCATATATGATAAACGCTGTTATTGTAGGTGGTTTAAAACTCCATGCCCTTTCTAAAACTGACTTTTCCCCATCGGTGTCCATGATTTAGGATATTCCCTTGCCTTAAGACGGGATGTCAACTTTTCTGAAATTTATATGCCCTCGGTGCTTCTTTCTTTATTGGTACGTTCAAGTCCTTTCTTATTTCTCTATGTTTCCCATGCCTTGGTTAGAGACTGCCGTCTGATAGGTTTTGAGACTTAGTAATTGGTCGTGATAAGTGGTGGGGATCTTCTGGGCCTATTGGAAATGTGAATTTTATGTTAGCAGTAAAAATTAATAGCAGTGTTCTGGAGTTTATATCATTTTTCCTATCGAGAGTCACAAAAAGTACACCACAAGTTCAAAGAGTTCAACTCTCTACCTCGTACAATACTATCTAAACAAAATAAGTTGATTTCAGAAATGATTCCTTGTGTTCAACACCAGTAAATTCAGTGCCACTCTTGCATTGCGGTAGCTGTGATAACATAAATTCGGTCTCATCCATACATTGCGGTAGCCGTGATAAAAAATGTTAGCTGCCCTTACACTGGTTAACTATCAGCAAGAATGTATGCTATCAGTGGCAGCACAGGGAACCTCTACCACATTTGTTCAGTCCATGTCCTAAATTTAAAAACATTATTCGATAGTGGCTATGTAAAGTCTTACTGCAATAAAAGGGTGTTTCTCATACATCTACAAATGTTGCAAGTGATCCTGTGAAATAATGACTAAGTGCTTCAATAACTGTTGAATAAAGATTTCGATGACAGATTGTTTGGGTTTATTATTTATTTATTTATTTATTTATTTATTTATTTATTTATTTATTTATTTATTTTCTTTTTCTTTTTTATCATACTTATTACAAGTACATGTAATTCATACTTTTTAACGGATTTCTTTTGTTACTTATTCATCTTTGTCTTTTAATTTTAATATTCATTTATTCATTTGTCCGTTTATTCTTAATTCATTCGTTTTTACCTTTCTATCATACTTGTTTATCCATCCATTTATCTGTTTTTAGAATGTGTTTAAATTTTCTATACATCATTCCAATTGATTCTTAAATTAATAACATATGACTGTAGTGTAATTCAGATGATGGTTATACAGTTTTAAGTAGATAATACTAAAGAGAAACTCTGAAACTCTGTCTAGAATCAACAAGGTAATTTGTCATACCAAAGATATTACTCCAATCTTTATCAATATTCAGCCAGAGCTGTGTAAAAACCGATCATTTACCGGAGTCGAGAAACTCAAGATTTGTGTAACAGAGTCCGCCTTCCATTACTTTTAAACAAGTTAGCTAAGTGGGACTTATGGCTTCAAAATTTAGAACAATTTCTTTGAATCATTTTACATGCATTTCTAAATTGTTCATCATCTGTAATGGGATGGGCTGGTTTCAGAAATAGTCTGAAAACATAGTCATTTCTGATATATTTATATTTCTATATACATTAACTTTAACATTCAAATGTTCAGAATGTTCTGAGGTGCATATGTACTGTAACTTTTTAAAGAAATATATTACATTTATTATTTTAATAATTATCATTATTTTCATTTGCTCTTATTATGCATTTATTATGCATATTCCGTTTTAATATGAGTGGACATTCGTATATGCTAACCATGAACAACTTTCACGGAAAACACATAGATGCTCATCCTTTAACCATGTTACCTATAGACTCCACCACTTTTCAGACATAAAAATCGCATACTGAGCAAATTGGTTTCCTCGAGACGTAATATGACGCAGTTTAGTAAAGGGGCTGCAACCAAGCATTGCCAAGACGCGATCAACCATGATGTCTTCTCTACTGCAATTCTCTTCCCTTCACGCTGTAATTGTGAACATCGATAAAATAATTTTGGTAACACAGTTTCCGTTTCAGCCATGTACATTCACCGCCGACTCAAACCTAATTTTAGTCGTAAAAACTCGTCAGGCAGAGCTTGTCACTTTGCATTTAAGTCTCCAGGAATTATCGTCCCCACATTAACACATATTACTAAAACGCAAGGCGCTAGCAAACACTTTTCGCCAATCTCCATTCCTAGGAGAAATGATCGACGGTGGTTAAAATGAATTTGGGAATAGGTCGTATTTAATAGTCGGCCTTAAATCATCCTTACACCCAATTAAGGACCCGTAATGGAGATGAATCTTTTTGAATCAATTCGCTAGATAGTTGTAATTTGATTTGAGTGGATGCTTAATGGTATGATGATACCTGGCAACATATGCGCCGCACAGAGAGCCCGACAATTGACTTAAAAAACCGACTTAAACTGGGAATAAATATTTTCGAGGCGGGCCATTACCAAGGTTCGTGAAAGATTTTTGCTTCAACGCCGTTATGTATGCATCATGAAGCGGACCATTATGACTAAAATTGCACAAAAAATGAATGGACATAACCTCTAATAGCTTTATCGAAGAAATTGATATTAGCCCTGAAAAGTATATATAAAGTAGAGATTACGTAATGCACATTGCTCTTGTAAATCGAGTGTTAACTGTATTTCCAATTCTTTCCG